GAGAGAGAGAGAGAGAGAGAGAGAGAGAGAGACTGACTTTGTATCCCATATATATGATGTTTTGTCAACATACACTAAAATACAAATGTAAATAAATTAAACATTTTCTGTGAAGTGTCTAAACAAAATCTATTTTCATATCCATTATGATTTAGTTCAGATCTGTAACTGGAGGTGTGCCTAGCCTTCTCTACATAAAATGCCCTTTCAGATTTACTTAAATCTGCTGTGTTTAGACCAGCAGTGGCCCCAAGGCCAATAGTATTAGCATCTCCAGGGACTTGCTAGAAATGTTAATTTGGGGGCCCACCCCGGACCAACTGAAAAAGCAACTCTGCATGAAACCCAGCAATTCTGTTTTAATAAGCCCTCCAACTGATTCTGATGCACAGGAACATTTGAGAACCCACTGACCTGGACTGTCTGCTATACAGCTGTTTCTCTGGTTAACAAAGCAGTAGGTTTGATGGTTCAGAAGCATTAAAAGATTGCTTAGGATTTCTAGTGGGTGCACAATTCTCTGCTATGAATTGAGTTTGCTAGAAAACAAAGAACTGGCACAAAAGTGTTTTAAAGCCAGGAAGCCTGTAAATCCTTTACTGCAGTCCTACATAGAGCTAGTAGGCTCCACATGCAAAGAGAGACCCTGTTTTCAAGTAGTATCGATTTTCCCAGGAAGCTTCTGGGATTGTGATGTGCAAGTGCTCTCGGGAGGAATAAACTTTTTGAGCTGAGGTACTTCTTAGCTCTCCAAGTGGCTGCATCTGTGCTTAAAAGGGAGGAAATGTACCTGGAAGAAAACTGCACACAGTTTTGCCCTTATTTTATCTTAAAATATGTATATTAAGGGCTGGAGTGGTAGAGCAATTGCCTAGCACATGTAAGGCAGAAGCCATGCGCAAGGGCTCCGCAGGTAAAACCTGTCCCCTTGTATTTTAATTTCCTATGTTCAAATGCAATTAGCAACTGCTTAGATGTAAAAGTGGAGAACAAAGCCTAATTCCCTCTCCAGACCCTCTAGTGCAGTACTCAGAACAGAACAGATACTGTACTCAGTAATTTGGAAAAGAAAGCTATCATTCCACTAGTAACCATCTGAAACTACAGGCTTAGATCACTCCAATAAAATCATCTTTTAGAAGTTCGACTCAGGCGTGTTGGTGCCAAGCCAACAATACATTTTCGCCCAGATTTATCACTTTCAACAGTTTGCCACCTCCCCCAAGGATACCGCCAGTCCCCAACTGAAAATAACCAGAGCATTTACCATCCCAAGGTCAACATACACAGTTACACGTCCCCTTAGCCCTACAACTATGCCATCAATTCTCGCGGCAGAGTCCGTCTGTGGGTTAGTTCCCCCGACTCCTCACGTCCTTTCACTTCCGTTCCCCTCTGTCTGCGTAGCTGGTAAGCAGGACATGCCCAGCCCTCAGACTGTAAGAAATACTACAAACCTCTGCCTTATCTGCTCTCCGCGGCTGACGACCCCTGAACTTCGGCTGGCTTCAGAGAGCTATGGCAGTGGCAGTTCGGCCGCTCAACCACTCATTTAGGGTCGGCCATGATAAAGAAGCGCACCGTATTGTTCCAGTGCCCGCAGGTGACGGACAACAGAGTCCCCACAATCCTCTTCGCCTCCGCGCTCCCCACGCCCAGCCGTGGTATTAACCCTTTCGCGCTCTCGTTTGTTGGTCGTCGGACTCCTCCTTGCACACCCACTGCTTGGTTGGGAGATCCAGGTGACTTAACTGGTAAAAAACCAGGCCTGTCCTCTTATTCATCTATTGAACATTGTCCTATTTTGCTTGTAGGTGGACTTACAAGCTTATCAGTCATTCTAAAATACGAGTTAATTTATTTGTTAAGTGAACAGTTTGTGATAATACCTTTAAACTGCTGGACCAAGCCAAACTCTCAATTTGTAGTTTCTGACCTGTTCACCTTGAGCCTGTAACACTTTCTACACTTGTTCCCCATCTCCTTTAGGTTAATTCCTGACTCTGCATAGATAAAAAGCACAGACTTTGTAACCATGGGATCTACGGCAGATAACTCAAGCATGCTATTCCTTGGCTTCCTTATCTGTAAGATTAGTATAACAGTATCTATCCTTAGGGTGGTAGTAAGAATATGAAAAGTTCACATGTGAGAAGCACCTAGAACATTGCCTGGCACAGAGTTAAGCAGTATATTGAAATAGAAATCATAATTATTGAGTTTGATGGAAATATTTTTTCACCTATGACCTTCTGACTAATAAATAAGAAATGATAACAATAGCTAGTTAGAGGACCTATTGGATCAGGAACTTTAAGTGCCACCCCATTTTGTTGTTGTTTAACCCTCATAAACCCTTTGGTGGTAGTTAAATTATTATCTTTTCCTCTCCTCTTGCTTTTTTTTTTTTTTAAGCCCATAAGAAAACTCAATATAAGTGCTAGCAGATAATAACTTGCCTGTGGTCACAGAGCTAGTAACATACAAAACCAAGACAAATATCACTGAGAAAAAGGATAGAAATACTTTTCAAGTGATTTTTTTTTCTCCTGCAAGTTTCTTCAAAATCTTTTCAGGTCAGGAAGACTGTGTTCTTTTCGGAACTATCTCTTCCTTGATGGCTGGCAGCAAAGGAGATGACTCAAATCACAGTGGTCATGACCAGCTCACTTACTGTTTTCATTGTGCCACACAGGCCCCAATATTGCCTATTCTAACTGAGGCCTCTGGGGATGAAAGTATAAGATCCTCACTTCACCCCACCATTCTGTAAAGCTTGGATATTGTAAAAGATTTTGGTTATTTGAGGAGAGTACCAAGAGATTCTTTAATATACTCTTTGGACTCCAGCCAAATAGTAGTAATTTCCATATTAGTCTCTAGAGTCAGATATTACTGCCTGAGCCATGAGAGAACAGGAAAATCCCCTCTTTCTTAGATCAAAACAAAACAGGAATTCCCTCATTCTCCCAGAGTCTGTAGTACCCAGGACCTTGTTATTCTTGCTTTATACCCACCCACTCTCACTTCCAATTTATCCTAAGGCAGTCCATGGTGGTTCTTATACTTTTTCAGGGAAGGACTGGTGATGGTCATGGAACTGGGGAGGAAAAACATAAATTTCCAAGTTGGCTGAGATAAATGAAGCACACTGCCTCATTCGCATATTTGTACAACTTTTCTAGCTTGCTGATCTTCTTCACTGCCTCTAGGCATTTCAGAGCCTATTGTCTGCACCTTATGAAAGCCTCTGGTTTTAAATTGCAGGTGAATAATCTTGTCTTTCTTTCCCCAGCATCCAACAATAGCTCACATGTCTGAGCTTGCCTTCTACTTAAAAGTGGCTAAGTTTAGAAAGGAAAAGGACAGAGATAGCATGGGAAGACTTTTTGCTTAATTTTCTCCATTATTTCTAACTGTCCGACTATTGAAAAATGTCAGCTTGGGGAGAAATCTAGTTCCAGAAGCCAAGAAAATAAAAATCCTAGTGCAAAAGAAAAATGTTAGCAGAGAAATGACAAGCAGACAAGAAGGTCTCTGGGCCAGTAGTGAGATCTGTGAGTGGGTCTTGGACACAAACAAGAAATTGTGCCCTTACAGCTTCTTTTACCCTAACCAACCCAATTATTTCACCACTGCACATTTTGCCTCATCACAGAATCCATCACCAGCTTAGCATAAGGGATAGGTGAGGAGACAGGATGTTGATAAACCCAATGTTACAAAAGATGTGTCCTTAGCATCTCTATTTGTATTCATAACATCTCTTTAGAATCATTGTCATATGTGGTTTAAGTCTCAAGGTCTGCAGTGATTTCTACAATATGTTTCAATTATTTATTTCTTACAGGCTGCTCTAGAGTCCTAATATCTATGACAGAATTTTTATAGTGTACATACACTGCTCTGCTGGTGACCAGTTCAAGCTCCTTTTCCAAGGCAAATAGGCCCATTCTCCAGAAGCTACAGGTGTTAACTGTGCATTTCAGCTGGTTCCTTCTGAGGAAAATGGCACTCCATAAAAGAGCTTTTCATGCAAGATTGCAACATAATCCCCTACTCCATGTACAATTCTGCAACCTGCAACCAATAATTGACTGTTGATTGGGGTACAAGGGCACCATGCCTCAAGATTCATAAATTTTATGATGCAAATCCTATTCCAGAGCACCCCTTGGGATCATACTAAAGCTGATTTCCAACTGGCTTAGTTTTTCTCCCCTTCTCTATCCTGCTTTTCTCACTCCCCTACACCTGGGAACACTCCCTCAATAAGTCACTTGCCTAAAAACATGCCCCCTTCAGATTCTGCTTCTAGGGAACCCTGTCTAAGACTCACGCTTATCTCATGTTTGTTAGAGGACTATGTAAAGAGGATCCTTTGTGGGCCCCCCTTGTGTAACTGCAGCAGGCTGTACCCATCTCTGGGGAAGTCAGGAGTGAGTTAAAGTACAACTGGACAGGGCTTCTCAAATCAAAGTTGAACATAATGTTACCAAAAGCTTTGTCCTTGTCCCCAATGCCAATTTAATAAGGAGGACACAGTTTTGAGGAAAAGGAAAAAGAATACTTATTGCTTTGCTAGGAAAGGAGAAGCACAAGGGACTCTTGTATAGAAACCGTGATTCTGTCCATCCTGGGGAACGGGGGCTTTTAAAGAAGCTATTCAGGGGCTGGGGATGTGGCTCAAGCGGTAGCGCGCTCGCCTGGCATGCGTGCGGCCCGGGTTCGATCCTCAGCACCACATACCAACAAAGA